ATCAGGACTGAACTACTACATGCTCTACAAGCACATGTCAAGTCTATGTCTATACATGTGTGTGTATAATATCTGTACACACACATGTATTGATTTGTCTGGATATACATGTGTATATGTGGTTTGTGTGTGTTTATATACGTGTGTAAATCTATGGATGTATACATGTGTGTGGATCTATTGTTGACTTTTTCATATGATAGATTTGTCCATGTTTGGAGTTCACAGTGTTTCGTCTGCACACGCTCAGGTCAGTGTTCATCACTGAGGGCTTCCTGCTGCACAGAGCAGTTGTGTCTGCTGAGCTGAAGCTGCCATCGTGTCTCAAAGCAGTTTTCATGAGAATGACTCGACGGCGGCTCTGCTCGTCTCTGTTGTGTCCCACGCTCACCTCTGCTGCTTCCTCCTCCTGTCGTCCAGATGCCCAGCGAGCGCTGCTGCTGCTGGAGGAGTACCGGGCCAAGCTGAACCACACAGAGGATCGGCAGCTCCGACACTCCATCCAGAGGGTCATCGACATCTTCCAGAGCAACCTGTTCCAGGCTCTCATAGGTACGACCGCCTCTCTCTTTCCTCAGGATCACCATACAACCTGGGAACAGCTTTGGCTCTGTCAGGGTCTGAAAAGTCTGATCAGGTGTTTTGACACACTCAACTGTAATGGAACAGAAACTAGTCGATAATTAAGTCAGGAAAAGATTTTAAACTCAAGGTCCTCGTCTGTGTTGACGTCATCGAGTCCAGAATCAGATGGATTTATATGTGGGGTGGAATCAGATAAAAACTAAAAGATGTATTTGTGATGATGTGGTATGATCTGGTCCAGAGCCGGTTCAGTGGAGATATCTCGTTACATTTTTATAAAATAATTGGAGTTGTCTCTGTATGAACTTCAGGACGACAGTGTTGAAGTGTTGTGTGGCTGCGGATTTTTAAAGGTCAACAGCAGTTGTATTTTTAATTTGTAGATTTAATTTATTTTGAATGTCATGCAGCATGCATTCACCCTCACACCTCTAATGTGGGGTAAACCGCTGGTTTTATCAAAGGTCAGTGTTTCCTGGCGACCGCTCGGATCTTTGTAGATCTGTAGGAAAGAGTCGGGCATCATGGCTGCAGCCATCCTCCTGTTCGTTTCCTCTGTGCGCCTTGACAGCGGGGCGAGAGGTCATTAAGTTTATCGATGTGTTGGTGTGATTGTCCGAGGGCGATGGTCGAGTTCGCAGCCAGAGCACGCAGCAGCAACATCTGGATGAAAAAAAACCTACAAGTTCTTCAGAATCCTTGGCTCCTGATTTAAATCATCACTCAGCTCTAACCCGGAAGATTTCTAGTTGTATTGTTTTGGAAAAAAATATCTGAACTATCCTGGAAAACAAAAAACAACCGAAACAAAACTTGGTTGCTCTACATCAGAGTATAAAATCAACTGTTTTCACACTTTCAAAACATTTCTGCAGAGTTCTCATTTTCTTTGTCGAAATATCAAAAAGTTTTTAGAAGTAGCCGACGAGTTCAGAGAAGATCAATAACAGTTGTGTGAGCGACCTGCGGGACAATGAACCCTGTTGTGTGTTTCTAATAAATCACAGAGCTGATGGTGACTGGTGGTTTTTCAGGAACCTCAGGTAAAACATCCTGGAAAAAGAATCCTGTCAAAGTGCGAACATGTTTAAACGTCTTGTTCAAGGACGATGAAGCAGCTGGAGGTTGGTTTCTGTCTTCACCGGGTCACATGAGTTCATGAGCGTGAAACACCAGAGTGGAGATGGAACGTATTCTTTTCTTTGTAAGAGTTAATAAAGGAATAGAAGTCACCCTGCAGGTTTCCCTCTGGAGTTGTTTGTTTGGCATTTTGGCAACAGCATCAGGATCTGGGCAAACAGAGACGCTGCTGCAGGGTTAACGGCCCCAACGGGAATGTGGTTAGATCTGTTTGAGGTTCCCAGTGCTGAGTCACTCACTGAGGCTCCGTCCACACTGAGACGATGACTTTTAGAACGTTTTGGGCTGCGTTTGAGTCTGAATGAGCAGAAACCGAGGTGTTTGGAAAAAAAACACGTAGACGCTCACAACCTCTTGCTGATTGGTTCGTTTCAGTCATGACGTAACCTCCTCTGATTCGCCAGCCTCCTGTCACATGACCTCCTCCATGAAGAAAACCACCAGCCTCAGAAACAACATGGAGGATCAAAGTGTCGCTGACCCTGTTGTCTTTGCTGACAGATGTTGTTCATCATACAGCTGTTTACATGTTATTCTGCACGTGCATGCTCAGGGTATGTGAGTGGTCATGTGATTTGTGTTTTCAGGTGTGTTAGTGTGGGCGGGGATTGGACCTGATAAGGAGCCAAAGCGCTCGTGTGAACATAGATCGCTTTAGTTTGAAAACGTGATCAGAGTCTAAATCTGTGAATCAGCTGACTCTGGTTCACGGGAGGACGACGGCTCTGTTCCATCCGTTCCTGTTCGTTCTGCATCCACCTCAGGTTCCTGCTCTTAGCATCTTCATCATTAATGGATGACTGGGAATCGTCAGTGTGAACTCAGTGGCCTTGTTCCTGCTCCCTTCATCTTCATCTTCGTCTTCCGTCAGTCCGTCTCCTCTGCTATTGGACAAACAGTCAGTGACAGTGAGAGTAGAACATGAGCTGAATACATCAACAGTTAATAAAAGCTGCATATGAGTAAATAATAATGATAACCTGCAGATTATCAATGAATAATAATATAATTCACACAATAATTAGTTGATTAAATATTTGATATAGTATACAATACATAGTAAATATAATATGGCCGGAGGCATTATATTTTAAGGTTGTCCGTCCGTTCTCATTCTTGTTAAGAAGATAACAAACATTTGGACATTTCTTCAAATAAGCCTCAAACCTTCAGTTCACTCAGGGATGGATTGATATGATTTTGGTGAAACTGCTGCGACCTCACACAATATGATTATACTTTATTATAACAGAACTTTATTATAACAGAACTTTGTCACAGAACTTAAGTTAGCCAACAGTTCGATGAAGGTTTTATCAGCCTGTGACCTTTGACCTTTTCAGTGTGAAACCTAGTGGAGGATTTTAATGACTAATACAGTGAGCAGTGTTTCTCCACATTCATTTTATTTACAGAATTATCGCAGCCGTTGCTGTTAATAAATCTTTTCCACGTCTGAGCTTTGACCGCAGCTCTTTTTAATCACCGTGTCTTCTTCTGCAGTGTTTTAAACGTAGCGTCTGGAGAAACAGCTCCGCTCGCTGTTCATCTCCTTCATCCCATCAGCTCGTGGAGGGAAACAAACTCAACTCGTGTTTTTATTTTGCAGATTTTAAGTAAATGTGGATGGAAGCGTGAGCGCTGCCGGCTTCGTCTCCCGATCTTAAATAATAATTAACTTGGTCCTGTCACACTGACTCTGCGTTGTGGTTTTTATTCTCAACTACTTCAGCATGCAGCCTCCCTCTGTGTGTTTGTCACGCTCACCCTGATGTCCCAGCATCTGATGGAAAATAGATTTCTGCTGCACAGTTTCCAATCTGCCAAACCCCCCAAAAAGAGATGTCTGCAGCAGGACGAGCACGGTGTAATCCCTCAGTGGACATGACGATTACCCCCCAGTCCATAATCCTCCACCATTTACAGCAGGAGAGCTGTGTGCTTCAGTCTCTCTTTCCATTCTTTGAGTTCAGACTGGCCTGATTCCCCTCAGAGAAACAGATGGCGTCCGTCGACTCTTCTCACTTTGATAAATCTACCTTCAGTTGAACAGATTTGGATCCTGTTCAACTGTGACTGATGAATAAAAAAAAAAAGTGATTCTTCTGAAACGTTGGCAGGAAATAAGCGTGTGTTCAAGTTGTGTGTAGAAGCTCATTGGTCCAGACTGTGCTGTGGTCACGCTCCAACTTACGGCTCTAACTTGGGAAGCAGCTCGCTGCTTTCACTGTAAAATGATCTCTTAACAGTCTCCCACTATTCCACAGAGGTGGCTTTTTATTAGACATCAATACGGCGCAGTGTTTAAGGGCGTCCCTGGAGGACGCTCAGACTAACGGCCGAGAAACCCGCTGCACCACGACAACAACCCTTCAGCGTTTCGGGACTTGCTGCCTGGCGGAGACTGTCTTCCTGTCTCTGCTGCTTAAATCTGTCTTGAAGATTTAAGTTCAGAGAAAAGCACCAAATCTCACTTTAAACAACTTTCCCAGACAAAAGGACTAATAACGCAAACAATGAATAGAATGAGGAAGTCATCGGTGCTGTAAGTTGACCACTGGCGAACCCGAAGGCTTTTATACCCCCACACTGCTGAGGCCGACACCACTGAATTTATACGACCACTATGAAGAGAGGGAGAAAACAAACCTTGCAACGAGTTTGGAAACGTAGAAGGAAGTTGGTATTTTTAGGTCTGACATCAGCTTCTGTACGATGTTGATATGTGCAGCTATTTTCAGCCATCAGAAGAAATTACATAACACCTGGTGATTTCAGTGAAAAGTCAAATCTCTGTTTTCAGGGTTTCAGTGTTTCTCTTGTTAAATGACGAAGTAGAATAACCTGGGCGATGAACCACACAGGATAAGGACGGTTTGACTTTTCATGTCTCCACGGCAGCGACACCTAGTGGCTGGAGGCATTATGTTTTCAGATTGTTGGTGCGTCCCATTGTTGTGAACTTGATATCTTTAGAACTCCTTGAGAAAATCTTTTCAAATTTGACACAAATGTTTACTGACACTCTCAAATGATCTGATTAGATTTTGTTGGTCAGAGGTCAAAGGTCACTGTGACCTCATACGAGTCTGTTAAAAACTTTATGTAGACGGACACAACCACCCTGGTTGGTGGAGACAATCAACCATAGGGCTGTGATTCTAGTTATGGGTTAGTGGACATACTGCAGCAGCTCCACGTGGCACTGCTGTGTCACCACTGAAGCATGTGAAGGCTTTTATTGTGAAAGAGCTGCGCTGAAGGAAGTTGTTCACAACACCAGGAGAACCGGACTGTTCTCCCTCACACCTGAAAGGAATCTGACGATCACTGACTGTATATAAAGATGATCACTGACTGTATATAAAGAC